GTGCAGTTAGGGTGCACTTGAGGGAACATTGCACAGACAGCAGCCCTCACTGAGGGCCTCCGCACACTTGGCCCTGTGTGTGTGCTGGGGGAGGAAGGAGGATATGCATAGAGCAGGGCCTGCTGGGTGGGGCCGGCTCCTGCCCCACAGGGGAGCATGTCCAGATACCAGGAGAGTGAGAGGAGGGGAGAGCCCCCAAAACACCCCAGCTCAGGGCTTTTCCCACCGCACAGGGATGAGAGGACTTAGCCACACCTGTCCACCCCAGCTCAGGGCTCCTCCCACTGCACAGGGACCAGAGGACTTAGGCCACACCTATCTAGCTCCTGCTGATTCTGTGTTGGGAGGACCTTACTAGGATTGCGAAGGTGGAGGCCCAGTCTGGAGCTCATGATAAGATTTTTCTAGGCCAGGTGTGGTGGCTCATGCCTGTAATCCCAGCAATTTGAGAGGCTGAGGCAGGAGGATCACTTGAGGCTAGTTCAGGATCGGTCTGGGTGATATAGCAAGACAAAATTTAAAAGTTAGCCAGGTGTGGTGGCTACTCAGAAGGCTGAGGCGGGAGGATCTCTTGAGCACAGGAGGCAGGAGCTACAGTGAGCCATGATCGTGCCACTGCACTCTGGCCTGGGTGTTCTTTCTAGAATATTGAGATGTGCCCACGTGGTGTACATGACAATCCTCACTGCCCTTTTGGGATCAGTGCCCTGTGCAAACCCCAGGCAGACCGCAGGGGTCCTTGCCAGAAGCCCAGTTAGGATGAGTCCTGGCGATTTCCCAGTTGTTTGCTTCTGCATCCACTTGGCTTGAGGTAGATGGCCAGCTTGTCACCTCCACTGTTGGGCTCATGGCGGGCAGCCGTCCAACCTTGGAAGAGCCCTGTCACCCACGGCTTCTCACCACAGGAGGGCAACACTGGGGTCCATAGCGAGGTAGAAGATTCTTGACCTGGCAGGGGTCTCCCCTGATGCTTAGATGTGACACAACCTCCCTCTCCACCAACCTTCCTGCAGTGACAGCTCCCAGTGGAGTTCTTGATGTCACCGTGGTCTACCTGAACCCAGAACAGCATTGCTGCCAGGAATCCAGTGATGAGGAGGCTTGCCCAGAGGACGAGGGGCCCCAGGACCCACAGGTGTTGGCGCTGGACACCCAGATCCCTACAGTCCCGGGACCTGAGTCCCCGCTTCACACCAGCCAACAGCCAGGGAAGGACATCACAACCTCAGGGTACTCCTCCGTCAGCACCGCGAGTCCCGCAAGCTCTGTGGACGGCAGCTTGGGGGTCCTGTCCCGATCTACCTCAGTGCTGTCTCTAGACAGTGACTCACACACACAACCCTGCCACCATCAGGCCAGGAAGTCATGTTTACAGTGTCGTCCCCCAGAGAGCAGTGTTCCCCAGCAACAGGTGAAGCGGAAAAATCTATGTGTGCACAGTGAGGAGGAGGGCATGAACTGGGGCTTGTGAGGCTGTGAGTGCGTCAGCGTGTGTGTCGCGGTGGATGTGTACTGGGGGGGCCTGCCAGCCAGGGGTGGGAGCACAACACAGGATTGCTGTATAGACCCCGGTGGCCTTCACACAGAGCAGAGAGGGTGACTTGTGGCCACCAAATTTCTCTCTCTGTGGGAGTCATGTGAGTCATCAGAATGTCCAAATGCGGGTGAAGAGCTCAGATCCATCTCTTTGGAAAGTTTAGCCTCAAAGCAGTCAGCCGCACTGCGTGGAGGGCACCTCTCTGTCCTTTCTGTGTCCCAGTGTCTCTGGAAACTTCAGCCTGTATGTGTCCTGATCTTCCCAGCCCCACCAGAGCCCCGTGCCGGGAGCTGACAGCTTTCACTCAGAGCACGTGTGCCCTGGGTAATCAGATACCACTCGAGCCCCTGCCCACGTCTCTCTGGTTTGGGGCCCCGGTGGGGAGTTGACAGCTCAGAGCATACCACTGTCCCTTCAGTGTGTCCCCTCATCCACCTCGGCCTGCGTGGGGACCCACTTCCTTCTGGGTAGGGCTTCGGTCACCAGGGTGCCTGTGTCCATGCACACTGTGTGGACTGCCTTGGCCACAGGCCCACTCCCTACGACATGTTAGTCATTTTAGAGCTCTCTCCCAGAGGCATTTGTCTGACCCACAGATGATGTCAATGTGAACACCTCTCTTTGTGCTGAATTTCTGGGCCATTCTTTTCCCGTCTTTATTTCTAAATTTTCTTCTTCTAAGATGCAAACGAGAAAAACTTACAACAGAGGGTATTAAAAAAACAAGATTCCCACCATTATTTAGGCTTAATTGCAAAACAAAAATCTTACTCCAGCCCCTCAATGCCATCCTCACACTTTATGCAAAAAGAATTTTCCCAGAGAGGCTAACTAGAAAAAACTTGAAGTCTTCCGTAACGTCTGAGGTGACCGAGAGGCAGAAAAGCAGAGCAGTCTGGGGCCATGTCCTGGCTGATCCCAGCTGCAGCTCTGCTCTGGGCACCCATGGGAGGGAGGCAGATGCTCTATCCTTTCCCGCTGGCCACAGAGACTCTGGTCTCGCATGAAAAGGGAGCCTGGGAGACAGCAGCCCATGCCTGGGGAGCCTGCTGCCTCCAGCCAGGTGACCGTGGCCTGTCTCCGGGGCTGGGCTGACCACAGCACACTCACCCTGCTGCCATCCTCGTCTGTTTCCTCTGGAAATGTAAGAAGTGTCCCCCAGATGCTTTTTTTTTTTTTTTCTTTTTAGACAGAGTTTTGCTCTTGTCACCCAGGCTGGAGTGCAGTGGCGTGATCTCAGTTCACTGCAGCCTCTGCTTCCCAGATTCTCCTGCCTCAGCCTCCCGGGTAGCTGGGATTACAGGCACCCAAACCATGCCTGGCTAATTTTTGGATTTTTAGTAGAGTCAAGGTTTCACCATGTTGCTCTGGCTGGTCTTGAACTCCTGACTTCGGGTGATCCCCAATTCGGCCTCCCAAAGTGCTGGGATTACAGGCATGAGCCACCACACCTTGGCCCTCAAATGCTCTTGAACCAGAAACCCAGGACTGGGAGATGCTCAGTGAGTGACTACTTTTCTGTGTGTTTGTGTCTGAGGCAGCTGTCTTTTTGCTACTAGAAGGGAATTCTGGCCACCCTGGGTGGGGCGTGTTTGGGGTAAGAAACCAAGCGTTGGAACTGTAGACCTGTCCTGTTGGCTGTGTGCCCCTGGGCATGTGTGGGCCTCATTTGTAAGTTTCCTCATTTGTAAGAGGGAGCGATGATACCTACCTCACAGGGGTGTTGTGAGGATTAAATGTGAGGAGTATAGTGGCAGATGAGTGATGGACGTCCTTTGCTGCCTCGGCCCCTTTTCTGGGGGCTCTTTTGTCAAAATCCCAACTCTGGATGGTGTAGGAGGAAACCACTCTGGGGGGACCTGGCACTGCCTGCCTGTGGTGGGCTCCTGCATCTCAAGTGCTGACTCAACCTTTCCCAGCCTCCTCCTTCAGAGAATCTCCAGGGAGGCAGGGCCACTGGCAGCCTCCCCACTGCTGACAGAGGGGCCCATCCCCAGGACTGGCCCAGAGCTGCCTGCGTCCCAACCTCCCTGACAACTCTGTGCCCTTCTGCAATGGCACCTTCCCATTAACAACTATGGAACAGACTCACCTGTCCCATCTTTAAACAGCATCTCCAGGTCTGTCTTCTCTCCAGCTACCACTTGGGATTTCTTCGCCCCCTATTTATTTTATTTCTTTCTTTATTTTTGAGACAGTTTTATTCCTCTTGCCCAGGCTGGAGCACAATGGCGTGATCTCTGCTCACCACAACCTCCGCCTCCCAGATTCAAGTGATTCTCCTGCCTCAACCTCCCAAGTAGCCGGGATTACAGGTGTGCGTCATCACGCCCGGCTAACTTTTCTATTTTTAGTGGAGATGGGGTTTCTCCATGTTGGTCAGGCTAGTCTCGAACTCCCAACCTCAGGTGATAAGCCCACCTCTGCCTCCCAAAGTGCTGGGATTTCAGGAGTGAGCCACCACACCTGGCTTTATTGTTTATTCTTTTTTTTTTTTTTTTTTTTTTTTTTTTTTTTTATTTTTGTTTTTTTTTTTTTTGTTTTTTTTTTTTTTTTTTTTTTTCTTTTTTTTTTTTTTTAAGATGGGGTTTCACCATGTTGGTCAGGCTGGTCTTGAACTCCTGACCTCAGGTGATCCACCCGCCTTGGCCTCCAAAGTGCTTGAATTACAGGCTTGAGCCACCACGCCCGGCCTGTTGTTTATTCTTAACTCCAACTACGTGGAGCCCTGCTGCCCTGCTCACTTCCCCCGTAGTCGTCCCCTGTGTCACTGAAGGCCCTGTCCTCCCATGCTGTGTACACTGTCTAGGCCTCAGCAGTGCTTGGCCTGTGGCCCACTGCCTCGTGTTGCCTCTGTGACACTATCCTACTGCTCCACCTCCCTGGCCCCATTTTGCATGGGCCCCATTTTCCGTGGCTCACCTGTCCCTACCCGAGCCTCCTACCCCACCAGGGGCCACCTTGCCAGGCCCACTGCACCAGGGTATGAGCTTCCTCCCCTCTACCCACTGCTATCACGTCACGTATCCAAAAGTGAACATTTCTCCTCCCTCATCCCTGCTCCCGACGCGCCATCTTCATCTCCAGCAACGCTGTCCTCCTGCCTGGCCCTGTGTGCTCTGTGGCCCGGCGTCAGCAGGACGGCTGATCCCTGCGTTAGAGCACTTTGAGTAAGAACAGATGGAGCCGCTCTTACAACCTGCACAGGTGCCCTGCAAGAGGAGCGCGAGAAGGGCGCCCCCGTCTACCCAGTTACCCAAACCAAAAGCCCGGAGTCGCCCGCAGACCCCTCCCTGGCGGCCTCGGGACCCAGCTCCGAGCCGGAGTCCCCACCAGACCTAGGGGGCAGGAGTGGGCGGGGCTTGAGGCTGGCCCGTAATGGGGGAGAGAAAGCTTCGGGAGGGACGGACCCCGAACCCTGGTTCAGGATTGGGCAGCCCGGCCGGGAAGGGGCGGCCTTCCCGCCCGGAAGAGGCGTGGCTCTTCGGAGGCGGCAAATTGCAAGGAGACGCCGCCGCCTTCATGCTGCCCCGGGACTGCTCGCGGAGGTGAGGCCCGCGCGGCGGGAGGGAGCGGGCGGGCGAGCGGGCGGGCGGGCAGGCATGGGGCCCGAGGCCCGACGCTAACAGACGTGCTGCGCTGCCGGCGCGTCCCCCAGGCTGATGGCCGAGCTGCAGGGCGCCCTGGACGCCTGCGCAGAGCGACAGCTGCAGCTGGAGCAGAGCCTGCGCGTCTGTCGTCGGCTGCTGCAGGCCTGGTAGGCGGACCCCGGGACCCCCTGGCCAGACCTCCCTCGGCCCCTCACAATCCTGCAGCGAGCCCCCGGGACTGGGAGGTCGGGCCCAGCCGCACACTCCGAACTGCAGGTTGTCAGTGCCACCCCCTTACGCTGCAAGCTCCTAGCTGGGGGCCTGCGGCGGGGCCCGGCGGCCCCCTCGGGTCTTTAGGAGCTGGGCCCTGCCTCCTGGCTGTGCAACCGCTGCCCATGTCTTCGCAGGGAACCAACCGAGACCCGGGCTTCGGAGCCACCTCCAGGGCCAGAAACTAATGAAGAGGACCCGTCTCCAGGTAAACCTCCACCGCCACCTTCCCCAGGTGCTGCTCCGGCCTGCCTTTTAGCGTGCAGTTGTGACGGACCCTCCTGGGGACAGCGAGGAGGGATCACTGCATAATTCTTGGCTTTCACAGCATGCGCACCCAGTCCACAAGACCTCAAAGAGCTGGAATTTCTGACCCAGGCACTGGAGAAGGCTGTACGGGTTCGAAGAAGCATCACTATGGCTGGAGAAACAGACAAGGCCCCCAGCCTGAAATCTAGGTCCACTGTCGCTCCTCCTGGCGCGATAGCCTTTGCCCCACCCCAGACCCCAGGCCAAGCTGGTGGCCATGCTTCAGACACGAGACCCACCAAAGGCTCCTGCCAGACCACGGTGCCTCCCAAGGGCCACTCTGAGCGCCAGCTGCTGTCACTGGGGGATAAGACTCGTGTCAGGACAGGAGCTCGGGCCCCCAGGCCTGGACCGGGCCTCAGGGACCAGCAAATGGCTCCATCAGCTGCTCCTAAGGCCCCGAAAGCCTTCACACTCAAAGAGAAGGGGTAGGTTTCCCTGACCTTCACTGGAGGGACTTCTGTCTCTGCCTGCTCAGACCCTGGCTAGCAAGGAGTCTGGGATTTGGGGTGACAGGGAGGGCATGGCATTAGCGGCATTAAGCCCTGGGGCGCACCTCTGAGGCTTGTGCTTGGAAGCTGGCAGAATGAAGCAGCTGTGTGACGGTGTCCGGGTTGGTACCTTCGGGATGGGAAGTACCGGAGCTTGTCCTGCCTTCCTCTGTGGCTGTCCCCTTAATCTGCCCAGAGGCTCCAGGTGGGCTCTGGAGGGCATGGGCTTTGCTCACGGGGCCCCGTCTTCTCTCTACCGGGGCAGCACTGGACCTCGCAGCTCCCATGGCCACCCCGTAAGCCTGTCCAAGCGGGCTCATCCTTAGTGGGGTCAGGCATGGGAGAGGGGCCAAGAAGCTTCATCCCTGATTAGGCTCTGACCAGGAGATGGGACTTGTAGATCCCAGAGCAAAGCAAGGATCCTCTGAACACAGGCTTCTCCGACAGGCACCTGCTGCGGCTGCCTGCGGCATTCAGGAAGATGGCTTCCCAGAACGCGAGGTGAGGCTAGGTCTTCGTCTAGGCAGGGGCAGAGGAGAACCGGGAGGCATCACCAGCTCGGGGACTGGTTTGAGAGACTTTCCAGCGGGTGTCTCTGCTCTCTTTGCTGAGTGGGGTCACTGTGATATTAAAACTCTGTCAGCTGGTCAGCTCTATCCCCATGTCCCAGTCAGTGTCCTCTTGGTTCCCTGTGGCCTCTGGAGGCCCCTCCTGGCCTTCAGCAGAGCCAGACATCCAGCTTGGGGTCCCCACCCTGGCCCTTGCCTGCCTCCCAAGGCCCAGCTTGCTGTCTGGAATAACCGTGTCCCTCTGTGGTTCCTGGGGCGCCCCATGTGTGCACTCAGCCTGTGGGCCCAGCTCAGTTCCATGCAGACCAGTGATTCCACAGATGCCACTGCTGCCAAAACCCAGTTCCTCCAGAACATGCAGACAGCTGTATCCTTGCTGGGCTCACGGGAGCCCCGGGGGCCTCTGGCTCTGAACCTGGTGAGTTTACAGAACAGCCCAGGAAGAGCTGGCATGGGATGGCCAGGGCCACTCCCCAGACCCGGTCGTTGGTGGGAGCAGAGAGGCTTGGCCACAAGGAAGTTTTCCTGACCCACATCCAGTCAGGTGGGCCCCAGCCCAGGCTCAGCGCTCAGGAGGTGGAGGCGGAGACGGGGCGGCTTTGGAAGGCCTGCACGCTGCTGAGACTGCGCATGAGGGAGGAGCTCTCAGCAGGTGCGTGGTCTTGGGCCTGTCTCGGGAGGAGTGTGGATGGCTGGTGCAGGGAGGGTTTCCAGACTGCCCTGGACCCCACCTGCCCTCCCTGACTTCTGCAGCCCCCATGGACTGGATGCAGGAGTACCGCTGCCTGCTCACGCTGGAGGGGCTGCAGGCCATGGTGGGCCAGTGTCTGCACAGGCTACAGGAACTGCGTGCAGGTGAGACACCACCCTCATCCTGCTACTGCACCGAGGTCTGGACCAGGGACAGGGCCAGTAGCCAGCCTTATCTGTGCCTCAGGGAAGGGTGAGCAGCCCAAGGACCAGAAGCAAGTTGGTGGGCCCTTCCGCCCCTCCCACGCCACTCCCCGATGTGCTTGGTCCTCTCCAGTTGTCCTGTGGGAGCTGCCAGCCTTCCTTTCCTTCTCAGGGCAGTTCCCCCACCTCGCTGCTCCCTGAACACTTACTGCTCTGAGCAGTTGCTTATTCACCCAATTTTTGAAAAAGTAGCATGTGAGGCCGGGCACAGTGGCTCACGCCTGTAATCCCAGCACTTTGGGAGGCCGAGGTGGGCAGATCATTGAGGTCAGGAGTTCGAGACCAGCCTGGCCAACATGGTGAAACCCCATCTCTACTGAAAATACAAAAAAATGTTGCCAGGTGTGGGGGTGCATGCCTGTAGTCCCAGCTACTCAGGAGAGTGAGGGACGAGAATCGCTTGAACCCAGGAGGCAGAAGTTGCAGTGAGCTGAGAGAGACACTCTGGGTGACAGAGCGAGACTCAACTTCAAAAAAAAAAAAAGGAAAAAGTAGTGTGTGAGAATCAGCTCCTGGTAGATGACTGGCCTGGTAGACAAGAGGTGGTTATTTATGGACAATAGAGCTTCCTTCCTCCTGTGTATTTTCTAATTGCTTGAAGTTTTAAGAGTGAAGATACGCCATTTGTCAAAAGAAAAGTCAGTCTCACAAAAGTCATGCTTAAACACAATAAAGAGAGTCCCCCACAGCCAGAGGGCCCCCCACAGAGGACTTCTGCTAGTGAGTCCCGGCCCCAGTCACACCATATTGCACTGGGCTGTCCTGGAAGCTCACCTTTCCCCGCTAAAAGCAGGGCAAGCGGTGCAGATGCCCAGAGAGCCAGGTGCCGGCCCACAGGAGAAGCTGGACCCTGGGTTCAGCTGCCACCCCAAAGGCCACATTCTCTTGTGCACACAGCGGTAGCAGAACAGCCACCAAGACCATGTCCTATGGGGAGGCCCCCCAGAGCCTCGCCATCCTGTGGGGGTGGAGCAGATCCTGCATGGAGCCCCCAGCTGCTTGTCTACTCCAGCGCCCAGGAGCTGCAGACCCTGGCAGCCCTCAGGCTTCGAGTGGCCATGCTGGACCAGCAGATCCACTTGGAAAAGGTGCTTCTGGAAGAGGAGGTTGGGGGGCAACAGGGTACCTGGGGTAGGGGGGCTGTGGGCCACAGGGGTCCACAGCCTTGAGAGGAGGAGGACCCAAGGGTAGGGGCTGGACTGCTCCACTCCCCAGGACCCAGGAGGATGGGGGTGAGCTTGGGGTCTGTGTGTGGGTTGGGAAATGCACTGGTCAGACTGGGCTAGGGACAGCAGGACGGAGCGTGGGAGCTCAGAAGGAGAGGGGCTAGAGCATGGGGGCCTCGAAGCCTGTCCTGGGATTGCCCTGCACCTAGGTGGCCCTGAGACCTTGGCCCTGCCCTGCCCCAGGTCCTGATGACTGAACTCCTCCCTGTGGTAAGGGCCACACAGCTGCAGGGGCCACCCTGGCTGACCCTTTGCCGGGCTGCGCACAGCCTGCTCTGTGAGGGAGGCGCACGTATCCTCACCGTCCTTAGAGATGACCCTGTGGACTGAGCCTTTCCTGTGCTGCCCCCGCCCGCCTCCCAGGCCTCAGGACCACTTGGGTGCTGGCCTGCCAGGGAATGTCCCCTCAGCCCTCTTCAGAAGAGGATTGGGGATGTTTTCCCTGGCGCTGTGCTCTGGGACCCAGAGATGCCTGTAACATCCCTGGGAAACCTGGTGAAGTGGATGGGGTGGCCTCATTGGCTCTTCTCAGGACAACTAAGCTGCTGGTCAGGGCTGGCGTTCAGCCTTCCCGAGCCTCCTGGAGTCCAGCGGCCAGCAGGGAGCCTTTCTTGGCTCCCTCTGTTTTCTCACTATAAACCAAAGAGCCGCTTGTGTGATATTAAAGCTACTTTAGAAAGCATTTGTATTGATTGATTTTTTTGAGACAGTCTCACTCTGTCACCCAGGCTAGAGTGTAGTGGCGTGGTCTCAGCTCACCACAACCTCTGCCTCCCAGGTTCAGGTGATTCTCTTGCCTGAGGCTCCCAAGTGGCTGGGATTACGGGCTCCTGCCAGCACACCTGGCTTTTTTTTTTTTTTTTTTGTATTGATGGGGTTTCACCATGTTGGGCAGGCTGCTTTCAAACCTTCCATCTCATGTATCCTCCCAGCATGCTGTGTGCATGAGCCACCACGCCCTGCTGACAGTGTATGTATTTAAATCACACCAGGTGAGACTTGATAGGCACTTGTTTTTGCTTTTACTTATCAAGTTATATCACTGGTATGCCACGCTGAAAAAGAACATACCAAGTGTATTCATCAAGATTATAAGTGGGTCAGGTGCCGTGGCTCACGCCTGTAATCCCTGCACTTTGGGAAGCTGAGATGGGCAGATCACCTGAGGTGAGGAGTTCATGAGCAGCCTGGCCAACATGGTGAAACCCCATCTGTAGTGAAAATACAAAAATTGGCTGGGTGCAGGGGCAGGTACCTGCAGTCCCAGCTAGGCAAGAGGCTGAGGCAGGAGAATCATTTGAACCTTGGAGGCAGAGGTTGCAGTGAGCTGAGATTGCACCACCGTACTCCAGCCTGGGCAACAGAGCAAGATGCCGTTTCAGAAAAAATGCTGGCCACCGGGCTGTGGCATTGGCCATGGCCAGTGACCCTAGCATTCTTTAAAGGAATGTGCACTGAGGGCCTGGGGCATCCCATGCATTTTGGGACTGGGGTCAGGTGCTCTGGGTAGACAGCTCAGAGCTCCACCATGCCCAACTGTGGGCAGGGACCTGCGGCAGGGAAGATGACCAGCCCCTTCCCGGAGGTGCCCCCATGGACAGGGCAGCAGGACAGGAGGTGGGTGGCACCCAGAGAGCTGGGTCTTCTGAGAGCCTGATGAAGCATCACAGGTATACAGGGATGACCTGGGTGACAGTGCTGTGGCTCCGAGGTGGCCTCTTGGCCTGTAGCTGGAGGTTCTGCTTGTAAAGGGCCTGACAGTCCAACAAGTCAGAAACATGCTCCCAAGGTGAGGGCTGCTGGGGACCAGATGACAGAGACCAAGATAGGAAACCAAAAACAATGGTCATTATTGCATTGAGGGGGAACCTCCAGAGACAGCAGCTCCACCCCCTGCCCCCAGCAGCCTGGCAGCAGCCCCAGTGTCACACTCCTTGATCAGGTCGGCCAGCCTTGCCCCTCCCAGCCACCCCACTGCTGCCTTCAGGCTACTCCTGGGCACCCCAGTCTGCAGGAGCCACTGACTCACTGGAAGCCCTCATCACACTGCAACTGTACACTCCATGGGTTTCCACAGCAAGGTGGACTCTACCCAGCCTTATTTCACTGGCTGACTTGGTTTATCCCCCATGTCTACTGGATATGTGCCCCAGGAGGGCAGGGGCGCTGTCCCCCTCCACCCTGGCCAGGCCCTGATGATCCACCTATCCCGGGGCCAACCCAGGGCACGGTGGCTTCCTGGAGCAGGGAGGTGGCTGGGATAGCTTTGTGGGGGCCCTGAGGAGGCCCTGACATAGGGGTCCAGGGCGGGAAAGAAACATCCTCCGACTAACGCCCACCCACCGCGATTCCCCTCCAAAACCTGGAGGCAGCAGGAACTCCCGGGCGTCCGGGCTGGCGTCACCGCCTCTGCAGCCAATGGGCTCTGACGTGGCGGGCCCGGAACGCCACTGGGGCTGTGCGGGGCGTCCACACCACCCACCGAGCGCGGCCACCGCGTAGGCGGCATGAGCGCTCCCGAGCCTCCGCCCCCGGCGCCCGCCTCGCCCTCCGGGCCGGGCCCCTACGCGCCCTTCTTTTGGCCACCGGCGGGGGCTCGTGGCCCTGCTGCGTCCTGCCGTTCGGTGCAGTGGCTGCGCTGGCTGGTGCAGCCGCCACAGCCATCACCTTCTCGCTGCGGGGGCCCCGCCTGGACCTGGCCCGGGGCTCGTCGCTGGCCGCGCTCAGTGCGGGCCTCGGGCTCCTGACCGCCGCCTTCCTGTGCTGGCACGCTTGGCGGCGGCGAAGGATCGGGCGCAGGGAGCCGAGGGCGTCCTGAGCCCCCGGCGAGGCCCCCATCCATCGAAGTCACCGCGAGCCGGGCGCCCCTCTCTCCGACCTCGCCGCGGCGGGGCGGGCGCAGTGCCAAGCGCAGTCGCAGAGGCCACCTCCTACTCCCCCCCGCCCCAAACCGTTACTTCTGGAACCCTTTGGGCAGAGGAGGCCACCGGCCGTTTCCCTCCCTCCTCCTCCTCCCTCCGTCCAACGTCGCATTTCAGCTTTTTGGCTTGGCACGCAGAGCTGGCGCGACCGCAGAGCTGGGCGGCGGCGGGACGGGGCCTGCGCGGCTCGGGGACGGCCTGGCGCGAGGGTGCTGGGTGGAGGGCAGCGGGCTGCGGGCTCGGCCACACAACCCGCCACTGGGAGCCTGCTGTGTCGGCTCCTGGGGGCTGCCTTCGGAGCTCGGTTGTAAGCCCCTGCGGCATAATAGGCACTCAATAAATGTTTGTGCAATAGTTGAACATGTGGTGGCTTGCAGGCATTTGTTGGGGGACAGCAGGTTCTGGGCTAGGCGAGGAATTACTGGATCAATGGGCATCTTACAAGAAAGACCCTCAGCTCCCTGACGCCTGGGACTGTCTAGCCCATCTATGTCTTCTCCCCAGCCTGTGCCTCAAAGCCAGAGCTGCCGCTCTCAGGGGGAGGGGTGGGGCTCTGCGGCCTGAGTTGCAGGTGGGGGGAGGGGAGGCGGAGCGTCTTTGTTGGGAAGGTGCCATGAGGGGGCAGGGCCAGTGGAGAAGTGAGAGGTGTGAGGCCCCAGGCAGGGACTGGGACAGGTGGCTGGGTCCCTAGAGAGCAGTAAGTCCCGCTTGGGGGCTGTGAGGAGGCCCCCGCTAACTCCCAAACACCGTCTGCGAGGGCTGGGGGTGGGGGCGGAAAACGTGTGCAGAGGTCTGTTCCTATGGAGAGGCCCTGTGGCCAGCAGCCTCCTCCCTGGGAAGCTGGTGACACAATGGCCCTCAAGGCCTCCCACCGCGCTGGCCCAGATGAACAATTGCAGCAGGGCTGAGCTCCAGGCACCGACTTTCTGCCCGCCCAGAAGCCACCAGTCGTTCTGCAGACCCCAGTCCCAGCTCACAGGGTGGCTGAGCTGGAGACAAAGCCAGCCCCTCTGACGAAGGTAGAAGAGGCTGCTGGTCGCTGTCCCTCCTGCAGCCTGGCTGGCGGCCAGTCTGGCAATGGCCCTGATCTGGCCCCATGGCCCTGATGTCCAGAGACAGCTTGAGTTTCTCCAGAGGCTTGTCTCTGGACAGTGGAACCCCTGTGTCAGGCCTGGGCTTTTCTCTCTACTGTCCCAGAGTGATGATCTCACCCCCCTGCTCCCCGCACACAGTTCCTCCCACCATTACGGTGGGGTGGCAGGGGGTGGGGGTTGGGAGCCAGAAGAACCTTGAAGAGGGCGGTGGGGAAGTTTCAGGCTCTAAGCTTGACCCACAGAGCAGAGCGTGAGCCCTGTCAGACTCAGGTCCTTCACCTTGTAAAGGATACGATTCCCATTCTCTTTATCAGGAAGCTGAGGGGCAGGGGCCTGTGGCAGAGAGAGAGAGCCCCTCAGTCCTCTCTGCTCAGTGCTCCCGTGGCCCCATCCCTGCATCTGTGGCTGTCATATGCAGACATGTGGCCCGGAGAAGGTGGGCACCAGCCAGTGTCAGGTGTTCCAGGAGTCAAGCCAGGTGCCCCATCACCGTCTTCCTGTTCCTCCCCTCCACAAGCAGGCCCTCCTGCTCTCTCCTCTGGTCCTTCAGTTTCCCCCAGGAGGCTTCTGTGTCCTCCTGCCTCTCCTCTCCCAAAAAGTGCGAGGCTCCTGCCTCTCCGTCCTCTTCCTGTTGTCCTTGTGTATCTCTGGCTGTGTCCAGGGTCCACCCACGTGGCCCCTGCACCATCTGCAGGGCCTGGTCTTCCATGTGAAACAGGGCATGCAGGCCTCGAGGTGGACCCTGCAGGGAACTTCTTCCTGGCCCCTCCCTGGAATGTTGGGCCTCCTCTGTCCAGGACCTAAAAGTAGGAGAGAAGGACATTTCTCTGACCAGAGCTGTCCCTGGACCCTCTGCTGGCGTCGCTCCCAGGCACAGCTGCCCCATCCCCCACTAGTCCCCAGGCCACCCACCTGGGCTTCTGCCTCAGGTTCCCTGCCCAAACTTGTTTCGACGTGGGCCAGTGGGCTCAGGGTTGCTACCAGTCCCTTCCTATGATTGAACCCTACTCTCTGTCCCTGCAGAGGGGTCTTCAACAGCTAACCACGTCCCTGAACCCCAAGAAGCCACCCCATCACACCCTCAGCTTCCATGTCCTCCCTGCCAGCTGAACCCATGGCAGAGATGTTATTAGAAACTTGCAGACCCAGGGAGCATTGGGATCAGAGTCTGGCCTGTGCAGGGGTGGCTGGCCTCGTGTCTTAGCCCAGCTCAGGCCCAAGGGGGTGCCCTCCTTCCTCAACACAGGCAGGAGACACTCCAGTCTGTGCAGCTCCTGACTTGGGCCTCATAGATACCACTTCGGGCCAACTCCAACAGCTCCAGAGCACATGCTGAGTAAAAGGCGTCTGGCCGATGAGGGAACAGGAGCCCAATCCATGCAGCCAGAAATGGAGCAGTTTGGATTCAAAATCAGACCTGACCCCAATCCCGGGTTCTTTCTACTCGAGTAGATGCTGCTTTGGGGATAACCCTTCAACCGGTGGTTACCTGGTTTCCCTACCCAGGGAGCATCCAGAGTCTCTGCTGTCAGACCCAGGGCCTTGCCTGCCTGATGGGCTTCAGGAAGGAGGTGGCCCAGACCCCCGCCCAGCACGTGGCACAACCCCAGGAGCAGTCAAGGCCTGGCTGTGGGCCCAGGACCCTGCTGGGTGGTCCCCCACGGGCTGCGAAGGCTGAGCCGCCCCCTCCAGACCCCTCCCGCCAGCGCATTCCTGGCTCCCCGGCCCCTCCCCTGGCTCCCGGGCCTCCCAGCCCCCTTCCCCGCTGGCCCAGCCCGCGTCTGAATCTGCTTCTGATTCCAGCTCCGCCGATGAGGCCCCCTCCCCTTCCCTCCCTGCTTCCCGACCCGAGCAGCCCCGCCCCTGGCTGGGCCCGTGCTTGCGCCTGCTGCGCCCCCCACCCCCTCCTGGCACAGCTCTTTCGCCCTGGCTGCAGCCGGGAGGAGGCGTCGGCCAGTGCACCGCAGGCCCCGCCCGCCCACGGCCCTTCCCGGGAGGCCGGGAGACCCACTCCTCCCGGCCCTCGGTGGGTGAGTGCGACCGGCGGGCGGCGGGTGGGGCCTCCGCGGGCGGAGGCACCGGGAGCGGGGACGACGCCTGTCATCACTCCAGGCCCAGCGGGAGGACGCGCCAACATCCCCGCTGCTGCGCAGGGCCCGGGGCGTGCCCGCCGCGGCTCCTACCTCTGGGCCCGGCTGGGGCCGCCTGGGGGCTCTGTTCCTCGGCATTGCGGGGCCTGGCGGGCAGAGCTGCGGAGGGGGCTCCTTCTCCCCGAGGGCAGCGTCTTGGGGCCCGGCCGCTGGCTGACCCGTGGTGGCTCCGGCCATGCCCGGCTGGCCCTGGGAGCTGCTGCTAACGGCAGGTACTCTCTCCGCCGCCCTGAGCCCGGGACCGCCGGCGCCCGCCGACCCCTGCCACGATGAGGGGGGCGCTCCCCGGAGCTGCGTGCCGGGCCTGGTGAACGCCGCCCTGGGCCGCGAGGTGCTGGCGTCCAGCACGTGCGGGCGGCCGGCCACTCGGGCCTGCGACGCCTCCGACCCGCGACGGGCACACCCCCCCGCTCTCCTGACCTCCGCAGGGGGCACGGCCAGCCCTCTGTGCTGGCGTTCAGAGTCGCTGCCTCGGGCACCTCTCAACGTGACTCTCACGGTGCCACTCGGCAAGGCTTTCGAGCTGGTCTTCGTGAGCCTGCGCTTCTGCTCAGCTCCCCCAGCCTCCGTGGCCCTGCTCAAGTCGCAGGACCATGGCCGCAGCTGGGCCCCGCTGGGCTTCTTCTCCTCTCACTGTGGCCTGGACTATGGCCGCCTGCCTGCCCCTGCTATTGGCCCAGCTGGTCCAGGGCCTGAGGCCCTGTGCTTCCCGGCACCCCAGGCCCAGCCTGATGGCAGCGGCCTTCTGGCCTTCAGCGTGCAGGACAGCAGCCCACCAGGCCTCGACCTGGACAGCAGTCCAGTGCTCCAAGACTGGGTGACTGCCACCGACATCCGCATAGTACTCACAAGGCCTAGTGCGGTGGGCAACCCCAGGGACTCGGAGGCCCTCTCTTACTCCTATGCAGCCACCGACCTCCAGGTGGGCGGGCGCTGCAAGTGCAATGGACATGCCTCACGGTGCCTGCTGGACGCGCAGGGCCACCTGATCTGCGACTGTCGGCACGGCACCGAGGGCCCCGACTGCGGCCGCTGTAAGCCCTTCTACTGCGACAGGCCATGGCAGCGGGCCACAGCCCGGGAACCCCACGCCTGCCTCGGTGAGGCCTTGGAGGGTGGCCTGGGGACCTTGGACCCAGCCAGCCTGCCCCTGACCCATCCCTCCCTGCAGCTTGCTCCTGCAACGGCCACGCCCGCCGCTGCCGCTTCAACATGGAGCTGTACCGACTGTCCGGCCGCCGCAGCGGGGGTGTCTGCCTCAACTGCCGGCACAACACCGCCGGCCGCCACTGCCACTACTGCCGGGAGGGCTTCTATCGAGACCCTGGCCGCGCCCTGAGTGACCGTCGGGTTTGCAGGGGTGAGCCTGCCACCGGCCACCTGCAGGCCCTCAGCCTCTGACTTCCCAGATACCCAGACAGGCTTCTGACCAGGCCCTTCCACCTCTGTCCTCAGCCTGCGACTGTCACCCCGTTGGTGCTGCTGGCAAGACCTGCAACCAGACCACAGGCCAGTGTCCCTGCAAGGACGGCGTCACCGGCCTCACCTGCAATCGCTGCGCCCCTGGCTTCCAGCAGAGCCGCTCCCCAGTGGCGCCCTGTGTTAGTGAGTGTGCCTGCCCTGCCTCAGCCACCAAGCCAGAGTCACCCCAGCTTCCTGCTGTTGTCCCCAGTTTGTTCCTGGAGCCCTGCAGATCTCTCTGCCCCTCCATCGCAGGCCATTCTCCCTCCTTCTCCGCAGAGACCCCTATTCCTGGACCCACTGAGGACAGCAGCCCTGCGCAGCCCCAGGGTGAGTGGACACAGGACAAGGCCCCAGACAGGCATGACTCTAGGGGAGGGGGCTCTGGGTTCCGGGAGAGAAGGGTGGGGAAAGGGGGAATGGGAGTCTGTCCCAGCCTCCCACCCTCTGTCCAGACTGTGACTCGCACTGCAAACCTGCCCGTGGCAGCTACCGCATCAGCCTGAAGAAGTTCTGCAGGAAGGACTACGGTAGGCGCCGTCAGGCCTCTCGCGGACCTTCCACCTTCCTCCTCTCCGCGCCTCCCCTCGACCAACATCACCTTGGAACACCTTGACCGTTGCTGGGCCCCAAGGCCCATCCCCATCTCTCAGGTCCCCGACGGGCAGCGGCCCCGCCCCTTCAGCCCCCACTGTCCTCCCGCGTCCTCCCGCCCCACCCGGCGCGGGCAGCCCCCTCCTGACCCCGCCCCCTCTCGCTCTTCCCGCAGCGGTGCAGGTGGCGGTGGGCGCGCGCGGCGAGGCGCGCGGCGCGTGGACGCGCTTCCCAGTGGCGGTGCTCGCCGTGTTCCGGAGCGGAGAGGAGCGCGCGCGGCGCGGGAGCAGCGCGTTGTGGGTGCCCGCGGGGGACGCGGCCTGCGGCTGCCCGCGCCTCCTCCCAGGCCGCCGCTACCTGCTGCTGGGGGGCGGGCCTGGAGCCGCGGCCGGGGGCGCAGGGGGCCGGGGTCCCGGGCTCAGCGCCGCCCGCGGAAGCCTAGTGCTGCCCTGGAGGGACGCGTGGACGCGGCGCCTGCGGAGGCTACAGCGGCGCGAGCGGCGGGGGCGCTGCGGCACGGCCTGAGCCCGCGGGCGGGAGGGGCGGGCGCTGCCCCACATCCAGGAGCACGTTCACCCTGTGCCTTCGCCTGCCGAGGATTCCTTGCTCGCATCGTGCTTGTCGCCACCTGGGCCACCGCCCCGCCCCTCCGGCAGCTCCCTCGATACCTCCCGTCTGGCCCCGGCGGATGTGACCGGCGCAGCGACAGCCCGCCCCGCACCGAGGCGGGTGATACGGCGCCATGGTCTCCCCCCACCCGGCCGTCGGCCCTGTACCAGGGGCACTGTGATACCCCGAAGGCTGTGAACCCGTCGTGATGCCAGGCCCTCTCGGGGGTCTCAGATCATCCCCCGGGCCTCGGTGATGCACCCCGACCCGGGCGGCGACCCGCCAGGGAGCGCGCTAACCTCCCCAAAGACTGTGGCCACTGCAGGCGCCTTGGAGCCCCCTTGGGGGGACAGGGCGTCTCCTGCCTGCTGCAGCCCCGCGCGGGCGGCGGCCTCGGCCCCTGCAGGCTGGGCGTCTGCCGCCGGGTCTCGCATCTTTCTTGGCCGGCTATGTCCCCATCTGCGGGCTCCGTCCGGCCGTCCCTCTCTCTGCCGCGTCTCCCCTGCTCAGGGCCTGTCCCAGGACTCCCTTCCGGCCCTTCTCCCCCGGCTCGGGGCTGGACGTCGCGCCCACGCGGTTCCAGATCCACGCGTGACCCGGCCGGGCGGAGACTCCGACAGGTGGCTGTCCGAGCCCCCGATGCCCTAGGCGGGGCCCTGCCACCCTCCCGCCCCGCTTGGCTCGCCCCCTGGGACCACACTGCAGCCGCCGCCCCTCTGCACCGGACCGGTCCCCGGCCGGCGCCTGCTTCCGCCGCAGCCGCAGCCAGCCGCCGGCGCGCATGCCCAGAGCCCGGCCGGCCGGAGACCCGCCGGCGCTCCGGGGTGAGCACTGCGCGCGAGCTTGGCGGGGGCGGGGCCGCGCGCGCGCGTGCGCAGAGAGCCCGGCCGCGGCGAGCTGAGGAGACAGCGGCGCGCGGAGGTGGGTGCGCTGGGGGCGTGCGGGGGGCGCGCGGCCGGGTGGCCCGGCCGGGCCGGGTCCCCGCTGTCACCGCGGCCGACGCGTGCTGGGGGCAGGAGCGTGGGGGATGGGCTGCGGGTCCCGTCCGAGGCGGGGATGCCCAGCCACGCGGGGTTGGGGGCTCCGGAGCCCGGCAGTGCCGGGCGCTGCAGCTGCGGCTGGTCCTCGGGGGTGGGGGGGGCGCAGGAGCGGGAGCCCCTGGGCGCGAGGCCCGAACCCCGCCCGGCTGCTGTCGCCCGCGTCCCGGCCCAGGGCAGGGTGTCGTTGGCAAGAGCCAGCTCTGTGTCAGTCTTTCCTTGGGGCGCTTTCCGTCTCCGCAGGGTCGGAAATCCTCTTCGGGGCCGGGTGAGATTGCCACAGATTCTGATGAGACCCGCCCTGTGGACCTGCAGCGGCCCTGGGCCCCGCCCCACCCCGGATGACACACCCCCCACCGCCCACCCTGCTGGGGGTCCGCCTGTCCCCGGCCGGTCCAGTGGTGCGCCCCGCTGGGTGCTCCGAGCCCTGGGAGGTGGAAGCCGGGGACCCCCAGCCCTGAGCCGGCACAGCAGAGGGGAGAGCCGGCCCCACCTGCGCTGGGCCGCATCTGCTCCCGCCCCCTCCAGGCGGGGGTCCCCGCGGCCTGGCCACAGGCTTTCTTTGGTGGCCCCGTGCGGAAACTGGCCAGGCTCGGAAACCCGCTGTGGGCCTCCCGGGTTACTGCTTGCGGGGGGGTGACATGAAAGGCCAAAGGTTGTCTAAAAGCCACCTGGTTTGTGTGGAGGTGCAGGTGCAACTGTTAGGTTGGTTGCAGGTTGGTTAGGTCGTGAAGCCAGTGTCACTGTGTTTCCCCAGCAGCTTATTCCGGAAAGGGGGTGTCAGCTTATGGAAGCACTAGCGGGTGATATTTCCCTGTTTTGCTGTGTTTGCTCTGGAGTCAGCAGGTGATTTCCAGGCAATGTGCAGAAGGAACCGTCCCATTATTTGGCACCTGTGTGCTGTTTCCTCCACCTGAGGGCCTGGGCTCCGTCTTCACGTTCTGTCCTCAGCGCACAGTAGGCACCCGTGGATGACGTGTGTGGCCTTTCCTCTGCCTAAGGGCCAGGGCTCCGTCCACAGCACACAGTAGGCACCTGTGGATGTTTGCTCAGTTGTGGTAAAGACACACAGTCAGGTACTTTACATTTTAAGGAACACAGACTGGGCAAAACCAATCCAGATAAGAAAAGATCAAGAAATCATATGGAAGATTTTACAGTTCCTGTTCCTGGCCCGTGGCATGACCCCTGCGTGCGCTTCCTTTTATTCTGAGCGTTGATCCTCATCTAATCTGAACACTCAGATAAAGGCTTTACATGGAGTACTTATTGGGGAGTGTGTGCTCTGCTTAGAAGCCTGTCTTTCCCTGTGAACAGGGCTGGAGCCACACTGTTCATCTCTGCTTCCCCCAAGCATGGCCACGGGGGGGCCAGAGGTTCTCTCTACAGAATGGTTGAACTGGATCAAGGTCCTTTGTCGGAATGATAACTATTGCAGTTGCTTTCCACTGGATTGAGGGTGACCTTCTGGGGATGCAGAAGTAATCTAGGCAGGGTTTTCATAACAACAATCAGTTTGGCCACCCAGGGTCTGTAAAGTCACCTGCGGGATAGCCTTGCTAGCTCTTGCTGACCACACCTGCCAGGGCTGTCCAGCAGGCTCGAGTGACCTTGGGCATGCTGTGTTGCTCTTAATTAACTACAGATTGAGCCAAGCTCAAAAAACATATTAAATGTTTGCCTTTAGATGGTTTCTGGTTTAAAGTACATAAGGACGATGAAGCAGATTATAAAAAAAGCACTTAACATTTACCCTGTTCAATGTTTTACCAGTCAGAGCATATGTTTTCTGTTATGACAACTCTGTAAATGGAAAAAAGAAGTCCTTTTCAACTCAAAGCAGCAACTTCAGTGGCTGTTTCAAACATTGCCTTTCAATTGGAGATAATATCAGAAAAACAAAACCTCAGGCTTTTTACTGAGGACCAACTTATTCGATGATTTTCTGCATCCTTTCTTTCAACATGGATTTACTAAGCCAGGAGCAGTGGTTCATGCCTGTAATCCCAGCGCTTTGGGAGGCTGAGGCAGGAGGATCACATGAGCCCAGGAGTTCGAGACCACCCTGGGGAACATAGAGAGGTCTCGTCTCTATAAAAAATTCACCAAGTATAGTGGCATGCACCTGTGGTCCCAGCTACTCGGGAAGCTCAAGAATGCAGTGGGCTGTGATTGTGACAGGGCAACATAGTGAGACCCTGCCTCTGAAAACCAAAACAAAAGTGCATTTATTGAATTCATACTTCATAGGAGGCACCATGCTGTGCGTTCTGTGGATTCGGTGTTGAGTAAGAGTTGGTCTCAGCCCTTGAACTTATATTGCAGTGAGGAGAGAGGAGAATCAACACAAGGTAGAACCTCCCACACAGGTGGACAGAACCTTCAGTGGGTGCAGAGGCCTGGCGTCCAGCTGGATTATGGTGGAGGTGGAGCTCTGAGATGGGCTTGAGCTTCATTTTGAAGGATGATCGGGGTGGCAAGAGCAAGTGAGGGAAAGCACCTTCCCACAAAGGGACAGTGTATATAAAGTATTGGGTGTGGTTCCTGCCCACCAAGTCTTGGGAGAGGGGCAATGGTGGCCCCAGGTGGATGGGGTGAAGTGAGTAAGCTAGGCTGACCGCAGGCTGGGAAAAGCCTTGAGTGACAGCCTGGGAGTATGAATTTCACTCTGAGTGCCATGAAGCCTCCGAAGATCTTGGGTTTGTGAGTGACTGGATCAGAGGTGGCCAGGGAGGTGAAGGGCTGCATAGAGGCCAAGGCCAGTTGAGGGACTGTCATGGCACACCCAGAGAGATGTCAGCACAGAAAAGAGGAAGACTCAGCTGGGCACGGGGGTTCACACCTGCAAGCCCACACTCTGAGAGGCTGAAACGGGAGGATCGTCTGAATCCAGGAGTTGCAGGCTCAGTGAACTGTGATTGGGCCACTGCACTCCAGCCTGGACAACTCTGTGTCAAAAGGAAAAAGAGAGCAAGACTCTGGGACAAGTGGCTGCAGGATGGGGAGAGCCAGGGAGGAAGGAGGGGATGTTCCAGGATTGAGCGGCTGGCGGTGCCACACCCCGTGCAGAATGTGAAGGGAGGGAGCAGGCTGGCACCGTGTGGAGATGCTGATGAGGTTACTGTGAGACGTCTGGGCAGTAAGCACTTGTGTTCTGGCCTGCAGCCAAGGAGAATGTACCAGGCTAGAGAGCATTTTTGGGATGCTATGTGGCGTCTAAGCTGGCAGTTGGGCTGGGTCTTCCCAGGAGAATGTGTAGAGTGAGAAAAACAAGATAGAACCCTGAACTCTGTAGGCTCCTAATAAATTCCGAAAACAGAGTCATTAAGGTAACAGAAAGTCAGTCAGTAACCCATTGCCTTTCAGGGGAATGTGGGAGGGTAGTGGGCTTTTAATTTTCTTTCTTTCTTTTTTTGTTTTTTGTTTTTGAGACAGGGCCTTCCAAATAGCTGGAACTACAGACTTTTTTCCTTTCTTTTCTTTTACAGGGCCTTCCAAATAGCTGGAACTACAGACTTTTTTCCTTTCTTTTCTTTTCTTTTTTTTTTTTTTTTT